GGCGATAAGGCGCCCCCCCAGCGCCTTAGGTCGCCTTACCGCCTTAAAAACTATGATTATTATTGTTCTGTAAACAAAACAAAAATCTACTTAATAGTAGATGGATACTTGACTCCGGTTTTTGTCTGTTTACTTACTGACCTTACTTGCATTGCCCCATCATGGCCTGTTAACTTGTCACACTAGTTGTTTGACAGAAGAACATTTAGTATACATGGGTTTTATGTTGCTAGATTTTGGATCTGGAACCATGTAACTAGTAGTACAAAACACATGCATTGTGAACCTATAGTTAAGCAGGATTAAAACAGACAGATGGACCTACCATCCTTAAAATGGGAGGCTAGTCAGCACTCAGCAGTCAGAGCGTTCCTCTAGAACTACTATACATCAAGTAGCACAAGCCTAGTTCTGATTTTAATTTTTGAATAAAGAATAGCCAGCACATCACATGCTAGAATAGGAGATCTTATCCTAAGATGATAGGTTCCTGAATGTCTCCCTTTTCATATATACATGAATGTACAATGCAGAGTGAACATTACTTAACTCGTATAAAAATCTAGTATTTGTTGCCCTTTAGTTTTTGTTTTTGCTGATATTTGTGGGGATTTACTTTGTTTCCATACCTGTCCGTTCTTGAAGCAGTCTATTTTCTATGGCGGTGTCGAGATTCATGATAGACACAGGGATATGCGTCTTGACATAGACAATATGTCTTATGAGGTCAGTGTTATTTAGTGAGGCGTTACCTTAATCTTCATCCAAGCTAAAATGTATTCAAGATATCCGTTCTCTACTCATCTTTCAGGAACTATTAGCACTGGAGGAAAGAATAGGAAATGTTAGCACTGGGCTCACCGAGAACGATGTGATGAAGCTCCTGAAGCAAAGGAAATTCTCGTCATGGAGATTATCATCTATGGAATGTGAGCCATGTTGTATTTGTCAGGTATCAGTGTTCTGCACTCTTTTACATTTCGAAGCTTTTGCACTCTGTTCTTTTGCTTGATTATTAGCTTGGAAACATCAAGCTTCTTCAGTTGTGTTATATAAGCATGTACACTCAATTTTGAATCCAAATAGGTTGTATCAGTTAAACTGAGTGTCTTTGGGTCAAGAAGACATGTAAAATTGGCAGTGCATACTTGCATCTCTTTTGGTATACCTTAGACTTGTTTGCTGCTTACATATATTTTTTACGCTGCAACGGCGGGTTTATGCCTGCCTAGCAGTTTTATTGAATACCGAGTAACAGTTACAACCAAAGCGGCAGGGGTTATAAGAGAAGCAGGGGTGTAGGGGGTAAAATTCAGTCTTTTACAGGGGCTACATTCTTGCTGCTAGATGGAACAAAATGGACTCCAGTCCCAGATGAGGGGTTGCTTGAGCTCGTTTACGCATCGATTAGACCAGAGCATGAGATCAGCTGCGCAGGGGCGGAGTGGCAGGTGGAGACCTTGGTGTTCATCTTGGAAAACTTTGGCGTTACGTCATTTCCATATGTTCCATAGAATAGCGATTGTTACCGTGGATATTGGACATCGAATCTACCCAGCAGGTTGAGTCTGGGGGCACTTAGGTTGTTGAGTTCTTCCCAGAGCTGGCCGATGTGCACACAGGAGAAGAACATGTGGTTGATAGATTCAGTCAAAGGGCAGAAGGGGCATCTGTCGGATGCAGCGATCCTCCTCCAAAACCGTCGCTCATTTTTATATAGCCTGTCCTTGCTAGCAAGCCAGAGGAATAATCTTCACTTGTTTGGTGCAGTTCCTCCAAGTTGCTGTAGCAGTTTGGACCGCCGGTTTGTTCACCCATGCTGCACCGTATGCCGAGCTTGTAGATAGTGTTTTTCCTTTGATCCTGCTGACTCTCCTGTCAGTAACCTGTTCATTGAAGGAAAACGTGGCAGCAATATCCCGTATGGAGATCAGTTCGCACTCAGCAGCGTAGGATAGACGAGGTGTGAGAGCGAGGTTTAGCAGCGGTAGGGAGGGCACTTTGGCAACAGATGCATTAGGCTTAGTGGTATGAGAAAATAGAGCGGGAAACTGAGCGGCCAGGATGGTAGTATGGTGGGAATCCAAAGATGAAGCCAGAAAGCTTTGGAGATGTCATTGCCAATGGAGACTTTGGTGATGGAGCGAAGCAGAGGGAGGCCTTTGGCGATGTCTATCCAGATAGTTTGGACGAGCAGTAGGGCTGTGAAGGTGGATTTTGGGTAGGTGCTTCAGGAGGCATTGGTTGAAGTGGTGCAGCGACAGGAAACTGAACCTTGCATTGACACCCAATAAATTTTTCTCTGCTTAAATACATTCATCCATGCATCAGTCAATCTAATTTCCAAACTAACATTTCTGGAGTTATGGACACAGTATACTCAAAATTAAACTTCTACCACTAGCCTTTGCCTGATTTTCAGGACTGAGTTTTTTTTTTGTGTCAATTAGGCACATGAGGTTATATGTTAAGGATGAATTTTAGATTTGTCTAATCATAGATTTGGAAGTACTCCCTCCGTCCGGAAATACTTGTCATCAAAATGGATAAAAAGGGTGTATCTAGACGTATTTTAGTTCTAGATACATCTCTTTTTATCAATTTTGATGACAAGTATTTTCGGAGGGAGGGAGTATTTTCTATTGCAAGCCATGCTCAGTCAGGCTTCCTAAGAAGCCATTTTGATTCAGAATCGCACCTAGGGACTATTTTGTAGAACGTCGTGGTACATTCAAATATAGGATCTTGACATGCTTACATTTGTTTTTCGAATGGTAAAAAGACTACAGTTACACCGCAATCTAAAATTATTAGACAAAGTTCCTTACTTACCTGCTTTCTCCCTGTTTATTCAGGAGGAATATGTGGACGGAGATGATCTTGGGACGCTTCACTGCGGGCACGACTTCCATGCGAGCTGCATCAGGCAATGGCTGGTGGTGAAGAACCTGTGTCCGATCTGCAAGAACACCGCCCTGAAGACCTAAGGCAGCAGCAGAGAGCAGCAAGGCTCGTCGTGGGTGGCGCCGATGTCCGTTCAACCAATTGCAAGATCATTTTATTGATTCATAATACCGCACTTTTTTGGCCAAAGGGTTTTTGCATTCACCTACAGTTTGATTAAAAAAAATCCAAACTTGAAAAAAAGTTTGAAAACTGGTCATGGTTCGAAAACAAAAAGAAGGGTTCAAAACTGGTACTATCTGTAAGCCGCCTGCGCGGCAAATAATCCCTTGGATCTGTGTCTAGTACTCATTTGACTAAATATTGATGGATGCATGGCATGATGGATGCTAGTTTAAAGATGACTTTGTTGCCGTCGCATTGGTGATCTACTGTTTTTGTTTAGATGTTTTTTTTTTTTGCTGAATTTCGCCTGTTGTGTCTTTGGAAACGTCATGGTCGTGGACCATGGCTATCCTGACGAGATGTGGTTGAGTGATCTGATCATGGTGTGCCGGTTGGGTCTGGATCCCATGCCGAGTTGGTTGCAGCTGTACCTGTACGTGTCACCTGTCGGCCACGGACGGACGGACGGCGGGTGCCGCGAGGCGCCGGCACGCAGCTGTTGGCGCCGTCGCTGTCCCGGCCGGGCCGCCGCTGTTGGCTAGTGGTGGCCGAGCTTTGGGGCTCCCTTCTTGGCCACACACGCCGACATCCCCGCCGCGGCAAGGCATCATCGGTGTTGGTGTTGGCGTCGGCCTCACGGAGCGCGACTGCATCGGCGACGGGTTCGGCGGGCATCCCCATCCCGGCGCGTACCCGTCCGGTTCGCGCGCCGGCCGGTCGCTGTATTCGCAGCGGCAGGGTACCGTGACGGCCTCGGGTTTCCTTTATGCTGTCCAGGGCTTCGCCGGCGACACATCGGTTCAGGTTCTCTGTCGAATAGCAGCGCGAAGCCGTGCTGATCCTGTCAGCGTCAGACCAGTATCGGATTTGGTCGTGCACGAACTGATTCCATGGCATTGGACGTTGGTACGTGCACAGCGGCAGAAACGGTGGCCTGGATTTCGGCGTTTCTCCATGTAGATATTTTTCCCGATATTTTTCTTTTTTTTAGCATTTTTCTTGAGACAATGTTTTGATCGGTTTTACTGGGCTGGGCGACGTCGAGACGGGCCCAGATTGTTTTTTTTAGCATCAGTACAGACGCAAGCGCTCATATACACGCGCATACACTCACCCCTATCAACGTACACACGCACACCAGACCCCTATGAGCACCTCCGAGAGACTGAGCCGGCATATCATCTTGAGATTTACGAAGTCACCGTAGGCGCCTCGTCGTCGACGGGAACGTTTCCTTCCACTGAAAGCGCATCACCAGAAATCCTGAAATAAATTCAGAAATAATGCGAGCATCGGGATTTGAACCCTGATGGATTGGGGATACCACCGTGGGGGGATTCCTATTCGGCGCTGGTCACAGTGTAATTTGCAAACGCATCAGTCTAAGATGGGCCGGCCCATTCTATCATTATCCTTCCTGTTTTGGAAACGTCAAAAAAGAGGGCTTGGATGTGATTCGAACTCGAAACGCATTCGTTGGAAGCGCTCGGGTCTAGCCACCACGCCATCCACTTGTGGTTGTAACTCTAGTTCGTTTTACACTTTTTATTCGTTTTCCAGATCGGTTTATTCCTTTTTTTCTCATCTTATTGGTTATTAGTTAATTTTTTATAATTACTAAGTTTTTTTCTTAAAAAAAGAAAAAAATGTCGTAGGGGTGGGTAGGCCAATAGAAGACTAGGGAACTTATCCTAGCCACTCAGTTCTGCCCCTTTCAATCAAGAATTGGGGCTTCACAATTACTAGCCAATATTTATCTCATGCCTTTCCTCGTTCATGGTTCGATATTCTAGTGTCCTAGGCGTTTTATTACGCGCTTTTTTAAAATTCGTGAACATTTTCTTTAAATCTGTGAACTCTTTAAAAAAATCAATTAAATTTTTCCTGAATTGATGAACTTTTTTTAAAATTCGATGAACTTTCTTTTAATCCAATGATTTTTTTTAAATTCGTTGAACTTTTTCCAAATCCGATGAACTTTTTTTAAAATTTGATGAAATTTTTGCAAGATTGGTGAGTTTTTCCTTCAAATTTATGAACTTTTTTCAAAACCGATGAACTTTTTTTGAAAACGATCAACTTTCTAAACTTTTTCATAAAGTTGTTTTCCAAAATCAGTGAACCTTTTTAAGTTTGTGAACTTTTCTTAAAAAATGATGAACTATTTCTCAAAATTGATGAACTTTTTGAAGTTTGTGAAATTTTGTCTCAAAATCGGTGAACGTTTTTACATTCATGATTTTTATAAAAATAAGTAAAATACTAAATGATAAACAGATAGTGCAGCCATATTAGTTTATGTACAGTTATCGCTCTTCAAAATCACAAGTTTACGGTGGCAATTGTGGTTAGCTAGTCTTGAACAGGCTTGCTCTTAATGGGCGGTGCGAGTTCGATCCCTCTTCCAGCGGGCGCCAGCTACTTGTTCGGGCTCTTAAGGCACCGAACAGGAGCTCCCGGGGTCCGAGAGAGTGCATCACTTGACACACTCTCAGCCGCCGTCACATATCGTGCTCTGTGTGCTCCCTCTGAATTTCATTTTTTTACTCTTCTGCACATGCTTTCGGCTTTTAAATGTCTTTTTGGTTTTTTGATTTTTTTTGATTTTTCACCGCTTCCTTAGCTTTCAGACAAAAAAAATCAGATTTTTTTCGCATCAAAAAGCATGGTTTTGCCCTTCCATGAGAAGTACGGTTTTACTTTTGCGAGAGGCACGACCATGCCTCTTGGAAAGAAAAATAAACGCGTTTTATGTTTTCTTTTTCTTTCACGAGAGGCATGGTTTTGCTTTCCTGAGAGGCACAGGCACAACCGTGCCTCTCGAAAATGGAAAAAAAATATGTTTTTGTTTTTTTCTTCTTCTGTGAGAGGCACGGTTGTGCTTTAGCGAGAGGCACGACCGTGCTTCTCGGAAACAAAAAAATGCATTTTCTATTTGTCCTTTCGCGAGAGGTACGATTTTCCTTCCGCGAGAGGAACGGTTGTGCTTTCATCAGAGGCACGGCCACGCATCTCGGAAATAGAAAAAAACACGTTTTCTGTCTTTTCGCTTTCGCGAGAGGCATGGTTGTGCTTTCGCGAAAGGCATGGCCGGTTCGGTTTTTCCTTCCGTTTTCTTTTTGTGAAAAAAGTTCTTCAAGCCTATCAACATGGAATCTAGTTTTGAAGATCTCGACACGAGGAATTCAATGGTGAAAACGGTTCGAGATTTGGACGCACTGCACACGCGTCACTTGTTGCAATGTGAGGAGGTGTGAGTGATCTTTGAAAGGAGTACTCCTTAATTAGTGATCTCGCTCGCCAAATGTTCCTTTCTCTAAAAAAACCGGCTGATGTTTCTCTCAACAAAAAACTTTCCCTAAAAAAGAAAAAACCCGGTCTGGTTGTCGTGTGCGACAGCGAGTCTATTCGTTGCAGGTTTTTTTGAACATTTTATGGGGTGCAGCCTGGCTTCCCTATAAAAATATGGTGCGGCTATCATACGAAAACCAACATTCGGTGGAAACCGATAAAAACCATGCGAAAAAGATGTTTTGAAGTTTCACAAATTCTAAAAAAGTACGGAATGTTAAGAGAGTGATGCTCTGTTGCCATGCAAAATTTCAAATTCAAACACATTACGAGATGTGAGCTACAAAAATAACAAAATCAACATTGAATATTGTCGAATAGTAATGTCAGTATTCATGGCAGAATTTATTTTTTCATACCTCACAACTAGTAATGTGTTTCAACTTGAAATTTTGCATGACAATAAAACATCACTGAGGGAGTCCTGGACTAGGGGGTGTCCGGATAGCCGAACTATCATCATCGGCCGGACTCCAAAACTATGAAGATACAAGATTGAAGACTTCGTCCCGTGTCCGGATGGGACTTTCCTTGGCGTGGAAGGCAAGCTTGGCGATACAGATATGTAGATCTCCTACCATTGTAACCGACTCTATGTAACCCTAGCCCTCTCCGGTGTCTATATAAACTGGGTGGTTTTAGTCCATAGGACGAACAACAATCATACCATAGGCTAGCTTCTAGGGTTTAGCCTCCTTGATCTCGTGGTAGATCTACTCTTGTAATACCCACATCATCAATATCAATCAAGCAGGACGTAGGGTTTTACCTCCATCAAGAGGGCCCGAACCTGGATAAAACATCGTGTCCCTTGTCTCCTGTTACCATCCGCCTAGACGCACAGTTCGGGACCCCCTACCCGAGATCCGCCGGTTTTGACACCGACATTGGTGCTTTCATTGAGAGTTCCTCTGTGTCGTCGCAATCAGGAGGGATGCCTTTTCCCGTCTTTAAAGACGGCGCCGTCGTCAAGGGAGCTTTGGCCACCGGCCAAACTATCCGGCTAGGTGGTTTTCTTATGACTGCCTGTTCGGCCACTGCTCCGACAATGACCTCTCAGGTCATCAAAAGCGATCTTCACTTCAACTCGGAATTCGCCGAGCAGCTAGATCCGATGGAGCTCTCCTCCGTAAATGAGCTCTTGGATCGCATCGCCGCCCTGGGAGTCGCTACAAACTACGATCAGATTGGGCTTAAAACCGATCTGAGAGAAATTAACTCTCCCCAGGCTACCCACCACGTTGTTGTGGTAGAGGAACAACGCGGCGACTCTTCTCCTATGTTAAAGACCAGTTATGTCCGGATTCCTGATCCCTCCATGCCGGATTCCTGCAGAGGGACGGACGTCAATCAAGTACTGAACCTAAAGTCAGGCATCGGACCGGATTTGTTGGATAACATCCAGCAATCCAAGCTTCCAAATCCGGAAACTTCTCGGCCTTTGAGCCTCAGATTGGGCAGGGTTCCGAATTTAATTCCGCCCGCCCACCCAAACATAAGTGACCTATCTCAAATACGGCAAGAGCCCGATGAAACAGTACATCATTACTGGGCCAAATTCCTCCTG